AATGTACATGTTTTATATACAGTTACATGTGAACTTTAAGGCTTTAAATTTTGTTATGAAAGTAACACTATTGCACAGACAACAAAGACATGTGAAGGCATCTTAACTACTGAGTCTAATGCTAAAGTCTAACAGTGGTGAGTGGAGCAGCTGAGTGGGCGTGCTCCCTCAGTATGGCTTACTTCCCTGATTTATGAGGCTGGCTGGCTCCCTGGCTGGAGACAGCAAGTTTGCTAGCTGTAGCATTGCTTCTATTGCACAAGTCCCTGATTTCCAGCAGGCCCTCGTTCAAGGCTTTAACGAAAACGACCGAGCTAGTCTCTGTGTTGTCCCAGAAACTAGAAATGCAGAAGATGATGTGGTCTGACTGTGGGTTGTAACAGGCGCCATAACCGTTGGGCACTACTGGGCCATAGCAGCAGAACATTTCCACAGTGGTAGGAACCTGGAGTCAAGACCACATAATTATAATCATCATCATAATAATACTACATTTTATTTATAGGTGCCTTTTAAAACACTAAAGGACACAGTTGAAGACATCATAGAAAGGTAAGAAGCAGATTCCTAAAATTAATGTGATATTTTACAGGAAGCCAGTGAAGCTGCCAAAGGCCGGGAATAGACCAGATTAATTCGCTACTGTGGGGTGAAAATGTTCTGAGGGAAGCAAAAGCTAAATCTAAAGATGGTCTAACAGAATAAACTCACTATCAGGGGACGTCAGATTCAGGTGAAGTCTAGCAAAGAAACAAAAAAAAAAAAAAAGTTTTGGTTGGATAAACAACATCATCATCGTCATCTTCCTTTTCTTCTTCTTTAAGCTGTTAGTGGATCATCTACCATCTCACTAAAAACACCATAGCAGGCCTTATTACCGTCTTGTAAACCTTCCCTTTCACTGTTGCTGCTATCTGCACCCACCCACCTTGCATACATCCCTTCTCTATCTCTTTTGTGGGCTGTCCATTGGTTTGGAGGGTTGACTATATAGGTATTTAAACTCGTCTACCTTAACTATGTCTCCTTGATACACCTGTCTCCGTCTCATTCACAAACATCTGCTTCTTTTCCTTTTCATTCCTATTCTCAAGCGCATACCTTCACCTCTCCAGGCTCTCTTCCACCTGCTCCCTGCTCACACTACACATCACAATGTTGTCTGCGAATATTATAGTCCATGGACACTCCTGCCTGACCTCATCTGTCAACCTGTCCATCACCACTGCAAACAAGAAGGGTCTCTCTCTTATTAACCTAGCTTCAACAACTCTTGCCCATTTATTTATGGTGTTGTTCATCAGCTTTATCCCTCTGTAGTTATTATAGATGTCCACATAATTCTTGTTTTTGAAAACTGCTACCAGTACACTTGTTCTCCATTCATCAGACGTCATCTCAGTCTCTAAGGTTGTGACAAACGATGTGGTGAAAAAGTCCACTGCCCTCTCTCCTCCGCATCTCCTTAAACCTAATATCTTTAATTAGGCTTCTGCAGTTTGGAAATTGGCACGTGCACATTTGCAGACTCCATTACTGCTTTAAAATAATTACTTTATGGTTTAGTGATTCTCTTTAAGAGGTCTCTTCATTGTTCTTGATTGTCTTTGTTGGTTATAGAGTGTGGTACTGAATGAAAATTTGCCCTTAAAAAACTCCACAGCGGCTTAACTTGAATTAAATGCACACGAGTATCCTCAAATTGCAGAAAACACAATAGCAGATTTATTTGTGCTTTACAGGTATATTAACACATCATTTTTTTCTTTTTCATTCTTAGTTTGTGGAAAAGCAGAGAAACATCTGTATTTCTCTTTTTGTCTCCATGGAACATCTGGTGTTTCATCTGTCCCGATAAAGGGAAACGTATAACTTGAAGAGTGTAGGTTCTGCAGAGGATTTGTATTTCTGGTATCAATTATATATATATTTTAATAGCATATGATTATGTAGTACCTGACTGGTAGAGAGGATGAAGTGGTTACTGGCCAGATATGTCTCATCACAAAAGATTTCTGGCTTTTCCATGTTGAGCTCCTTTGCGATCCTCAGAAGTCCAAGGAGGTGATTGTCTATCGCCATTCCTGTAATCGCCTGAAAAACATATTTTTGACAATTTAAGGGTTTTATGAATAGTTACTTTTCCACATCCATTCACTAAAACAGACTTCTTTATCCCAGAAATGTGGCTCACTGTTCTTTGAAATACAGCTGAGCCACAACCAGAGCCTCATCAAAGCTTTCACCAGCCTCTTACTGTCATTTTTGGGGCAAAACCAAAAAAAAAAGAATTTTGGAAGTAAAACTTGTTCTAATTTTTTTTTTACCAAAAATTTGATGAGGAGATTAATGTAGAATTTCCATCTGTGCATTATAGATATCGAATCTAGAATCTAGAATCTACCAGTACTTTTAAAGCTAATTACATAGCATGCTTTATTGCACATGTTGACTATTTCTTGGCTGGTGTGGTGAGAACTTTGGATTAATACTCACTGCAATTGTATAACTTGTCTGGGCTTTAATTGCATCCCCCAGTCGCTTCATCTTTTCTGAGTCCTGTCAGAGAAGAAAAGTCATTCAATGAAAAAAAAAGTGGACACAGGACATTTGTTGCATCGAGACAGCAGCAAAGCCAGCCATTTTTCATAGATCCGCTAAATCTTCAGGGGGATCATCTGGTTGACTGACTTTTCCTTGCCAAGGTTGCCAGTCGCACCTGTTTCATAAGTGAGGCGCGATGAGCAGTAAAGTGGGAGTTAGTAATTAAAGCGGAAGTGAGAAAAATGACTCACAGAGAACGCTCCCCTCTCATCTGCCATAGACTTTACAAAGGCCAGGGCCTCGGCGGTCGCTGAGCGAATGTTATCTACGCGACCTTCTTGGAAACGCCGAATTGATGCACTCTCGTAAGTGGACACGAGCCTTCCAGTGCATCTAAGTGCAGGGCAGACATGATTTGAAATTGCACCTTGATGGCAAACAGTTCAATTAGAGATATGCTTATGATATCACACATTGAATATTTGTTACTTGAAAAATGCAAGCTGCAAGGCAACTTGTATGAAGGCATCTGGACTCATCTTCTGCTGCTTGATAAATTCTTTCCCATAATCTTTGAATTTGAAAACATTCATGTCAAGATTATTCACCAGCCTGAAGAAGAAAACAGTAGATTTTTGTGACTTCCAGTCTCAAAAAAATCTGTACTTATTTATAATTGTAGTTGTGTGTTTGTGCTAGTCTTGCCTCTGCAATCTCTCTGCAGATGCTGCTAAGAGTCCTTGGATATGTGGGTTACATTTCCAGCGTAGCCTCCTTGGAGGAGGAAGCTCTCTATAGCTGGAGGACTTGACCATCTTGGAAGGACTTTCCATTCTGTTCAGAACAACAACACGTTTCTTTCAGACACTTCTGGCCTCATCAGCATTCATTTAGATGACCATATTCAGTGTGCAGCCTGTCTTGCTACAGTGGGCTAACTTACATATATTTCATTATGTATTCACAGCACTGCACCAGAACGATCCCTTCAAATGGTGAATGCTCACACACCACTCCACATATCCCATCCATGCCTACAACAAACTGAGAAAATGGGGATTAAATGATTATCCAAATTTTACAGTCATGGAAAACTGAAGCACCTGCAATATCGTCTTACCTGCATTGACTTGTCATACCAGCGGTTTGCACCATTCTTTTCATGTCCTCCACCATGTAGCATCAACAGGGCCCTGTTGGTGTCACTAGGTTGCAGGCCGCTGGGCTCATCCAGACACACCACACAGATGCAGCTCTCAATCAGTGCCAGAGAGTCCCTGTTGATCTGATCTGGACAGATGAAAGAAGGAAACCCATGTCCTGGATTTGCTTTTTCTAAAAAAATTTGATTAAAATGTTAAATTGAGTAAGAATGAAGTTGTGGTAAGACCTTTTATTAGTGCCTCTCTAGCTTGCGCCCATTCTGTCCTTCCATCAGATGTCAAGATGCCAAAAGGGGGGAGCTTCTCCTCAGCGTTTTCAGACATTTTCACAATCTTCTCCAGCTGGGATAAGATCTCCTCTTCACTGAGCTGCTTGCTGTTTGCGACTACATCCAACACGAAAAACTAGTGAGAAAAATAAATTACAGCAATCACAAGTCTCTCAACTGTTCCATCAAGTACAGCTTCACCAGGGTGATTCAACTCGAGAGGAGAATATTTAAGTTAAAATATTTCCTTGCATGCTAATTGCGCTTTATAGCTAACCTTACGGCTACTGTTTGAACAGCTGAGATAATAACGACATTAGTAATAATGACAGGGACTGAGAAGGGCCAATTACCTGCTTCTCTTCCACGATCAGTTTAACATGCGACTCAAGGAAGCTCTCAGACAAAGTGGCCGATTTAATCTGCAGTAATTAAGTTAACTCCCTGTATCTCCATAGGGACGGGCCCTTAGAGGCTACAGATTGATGGCTCCCAGAATCATTTCCAGGGGAGAGTTCCTGAATTTTTCCATGTTAATTTGCAGTCTCATTCTTAACCTTCATAAAAATCAATATATTAGCCATGGGCTATAGATGCTGCAGATGTTGGTGGCATGTGCTTGAATGTGGATCGGTGACTTTGATGTGACTCTGAGATGAGATGGTAATGAGTACAGGCTGTTTTGTACAGGGGATTGTGTTAGATGATAGCTAAGGAAAAGACCACACACACACATAGAAGCCCGTTCAGCTATCTTAGTGAAGACCTTCATTGACATAATGGTTTCCCTAGCCCCTTACCCTAACCATAACCATTAAAAATGAATTCCTAACCCTTATCCTTACCCTAAACCTAACCATAACCTAATTGTAACCCTGACACTAACACCACATTTTGAGCCTCAAAAAGGCCTTCAAACTTGTGAGGACCAGTGAGTGTGTCCTCACAAGTGACTGTTGGTTCTCACAAGCATAGTAGAATGCAGATTTCGGTCCTCACAAAGATAGCTAGACAGGAACACACACACACACACACTTGTTTTAATATCTTAGTGAGGACATCTAATTAACATAACGTTTTCCCTAGCCGCTTATCCTAAACCTAACCATCAAAATTTAATGCCTAAACCTAACTATAACCTAATTGTAACCCTGACACTAAAACCACATCTTGAGTCTCAAAAATGCCTTTAAACTCGTGGGGACGGCTATTTTGTCCCCTTAAGAGACTGTTGGTCCCCACAAGTATAGTAGCACAAGTATAGTAGCAAGTATAGTTTTTGGTCCTTACAAAAATATCTAAACACGCGCGCGCACGCACACACACACACACACACACACACACACACACACACACACACACACACATAATTCTTACCTGCTTTATTTTAAAGTTGGGTTAAAAGCTGGGTTTAAAATAAAGCAGTTAAACTATAAAAGTCAAGTAGGAGAGCCTTATTGGGGATTTAAATGACTTCTGTCACCTGGCTCCTGCTGTGAAACTATAGCTTACCTTACCGCTACATGCTGTCTATTATGACAATTCCTTTTTAGTACTTCCTGGTCTGTCTTGTCCCAGTATGAAACTTTGGCCAGTTTAAATATTCAAATAGACACTGTCAGCCACAGATAGTCACACTTTCATAGCAGGCGCTGCTTTTTGAGAAAGAACTGACTCCCCTGTTACAGCAGAATTAAAATTAGTCAAATAACTAACAGGTCTAATTCTGTTCTATCTGTCCTTCATGCAAAAGGTCTATAAGATGATCCTCAGGAGGTGCAGTAGTGGGTACATTGGGTAAGTTTCTCAGATTCCTTTCAATAATGACTTTACTTACAATTATTATTTTTCTTAGCTTTTTTTCTGTATTTGAGAGGGGTGTAGAAAAGGTTTCTTTATTTACTGTTACCACAGGGAAAAAAAGGTATAATTTATATTCACTCAAGTAAAGGTGCTTAGACTAGTCCTTACTTTAAAATCTGACTTGAGCATCTCTGCTACATAGAAACTGACTTGTATGTCACTCTATATGTATTCTCTCAAATGGACAGAAAACACTCTTTAATCAGCAGTATTACTGAGTGTGAGAAGTCTCCTCAACGGCCAGTGTCCTGACCTGATTCTTGCATGCCACAATCATGTGCTCCAGTGCTGAGGATGCTGCCTTAATCTGGACCTTCAGCGTGTCTGTCTTTAACCCCGGATAGCGGTAGGAGGTGAAGAGGCGATAGTACTGCTCCATGCACATAGGCATGACAGCTAGCTGGCCTCGAGTGAAATCCACTGGCAGCGATCGCCTGAGAGACATTTTTACACACACCAGATCACCTATGAAAAGACTTGTGATTCATTATTATATAATTTTGGTTTTAATCTTCAATCCACATAGCTTGCAGGTTGAACTTACGTATCGATGAGAGCCTTGTATTCCAAAACTCCACTGATGAGACGGGCGGCAAAACTTAAAAGAGCAAGAAGGAGGGTGAAATTTGAAAGTGGTATTGTTGTGAAACACCAAAGTTATACAGCAGAATGGCTTGTGATTGTAATTACATATACTCCCATCTCTCAAAGAACTAACAGTAATCACATTATGGTGAATTACTGGGATACAGTGTGAGAGTTGCGTGTGAGAGTTGCGTGTGTTCATCTGCGAGAGGGAGAGAGCCGGTCTGTATGTGTGAGTGGGTGAGTGGGCAAAGAGGGAAAACGCAGCGGCTTGTCAGGTCTCATGTTGTATATCATTTGTCTTGGTGTTATTACGTTCAAAGCCAGATCAATACAAAGGAGGCAGCCTCAGTGCACCACACCCCTAAATGAGGCCTGACTAAGAGTCTCCGTGGAGAGCTTGGCCCTGTCACTCCCAATCTAATAAGTGGCCGTGTCAGTAGATTACCAGCTGCTTGGGGTGCTCTGGAAATATTCACTTAGTGGCTGTGCAAGCTGACAAAAGCTAATGTTGAGCTACAGGGCTGGATGGACCGGTGTAATTTCTGGCAGACCACAGCTCATTTAATAACGGTCAAAGATTCTTTCCATGACTGTAAAATTCAGATAATAATCTGAGTCTGCATCTATACAAAAGAACATAAAAATCTGTCAGCAGCTAAAGAGCTGATTATGTGTTTGCGCAGTATTGTGTGCAACATTCAGCATGTGACCTTTTTTTCCTCTGGTACAGAACTTACAGCGCACACTCACATTATGCTCAGTCATTGTGTGACATATTAAGTGAGTTACTTTGTAGTTCTCCCACATTTGCTTGCAGCTTGACAGAGAATATTGGTTTTAAGGATAGATGATCAGAAAATAACAGTAATAATAAGTAAAAGAATATTTTCATTTACATACATTTAAAACAACTATTTAAAAGTTCCAGCTTGTGTTTTCTGGATCATATAGAAAAATAAACTCAGGATTTCTGATGGTTTTCAGATTTAAAAAAAATCTGTTATTTAAGACAACAATTGGAAGGTAGATTCACTGTTAATAAAAGAAAGCTGTATTTATTTTTGTTCTGACCTATTGAGTCTTTTCCCCTCTAGATAAATATGCTTATTTGTGATTCATTCCCTTGATACACACCTAGAAAGACAACTTACAGAGAATCAAATTAAATTCTGATGTTTATCTGACTCAAATATCACCTGCTAAAGAATTTAAATATGGAAATGGAAACATCTGCATCTTCAATTTTGATTAGTTTGACCTTTTATTCAAAAAAAAAAACTTTGGTTTTACAACCTCCAAAAGAAGGGTGAATAAAAAAAGTCATCATAGCAGAAGTCGAGAACATACCTGAGGGTGTCTTTATGATCTTTAAACATCTGCTTAGGAAACACCATGGCAGGACTGGAGTTGACTGGCAGGGCCAACCTGTTGTTCAGGTACATGTCCTCCAGCCAGTAGTCATAGACCTAAATGTGAACACAGGGACAGTTTTTGAGAAATGTTGCTTTGTTAAATGTGTTTGGACTCAAGTTATTACTTTCAGAGTTGAGACCTGTGCAGTGAAGTAAAAAGCCATTACAGTGTATCACTGCCAGATGAAAAGGAGAGTGGGAGAGTGGTGCTAGTGTGAGAGTGGGAGTGTGATAGATTTCACTGAGCTGGATGTCTAGTGGACTGACCGATCACCCAGACAAAGCACAAGCGGAGGCAGGGATAAATGTTTATCACGGAGTTTAAGACTTTTTTAACTAATTTTTTATCCTAAATAAAATAATTTACAGCTGATTTCAGCAATTCAACTATCTAACAAACAGTGCAAAAATACATGCAGGTATTTATATAGTCATAAAGTCAAAACAATACAGAAGCTCCTTATTGATAGAAGTAGGATGCACACTGTAATTTTTCCTGTTCATGCACATAAACAACTTTTCATCTGTTAGGTCTGTGTTTACCCAGTTTGCCATCTTGTCCCTCCTCTCTAAAAGCTTCTTCTGGAGAGTCTCTCCCATGCCCCCAGGAGCCCCAAACTTCTCCACGATGGCCCTTGTTTTCTTAAACTGCTCCTCCTTCGCCAGGTGTTGAACGCACTTCAAGTAAGTGTCAAGGGTTTGTTTCAGCAGGGGAACGGGGACCTTTGGCAGCACCTGATATCACAAAAAACATCACACGAAGAGTAATGGAAGGAAAGCAACTGTCAGCATTTTAATGGGATTCAGTGTTCATTAGTTAAAGCAGTCGTTTATTATTAGAACCTAAGTTAATAATGCATTTTGACTGCTTCAAGGCCAATTTGAGAATAAACTACACAGTCTCCTGTGCATTGCAAATTACCCATGAGGTAAGTTCAAATTGATAATATTATCTGTGTGATGTTTGGTCATTTGCATGCTGTTGGTAAGCCAAGATTATAATATGGAGACGTGCAGTGCAAATGCAGAACAATGTATCTGCACATTCTTGGAAATCTTTAGATATTTTCAGAAGGTCCTTAATTGGTATTTAGAAAATAAATAAATAAATAAATAAATAAATAAATAAATAAATTTAATTAAGCACTGGTTTGACCCTGTAAACGCAGCATTGTCTCTGTTATATTATAGTCTGCCGCATCATTTTGATCAAATTTCTGCACAAAATTAATGTGTGCTATAGTGTCTTGAACATACTTTCTATGTTCACGAATGAGGGGGTTTTTTTTGCCCCTAGCGGCCAGTTAGGCAAATGAAGCTGGCGCTGTCCGTGGTGCTGAAAGCCAGTACCCTTACTTTGCCAACTTAGGCACCACGGGCGGCGCTCGGCACAAAAAAGTAAAGCTGACGTAAAGAAGCAGCGGTGTGTGTTCATACTTGGCTGTCTCGGTCTCTCGCCGTCCCTCTCTCCAAGATTGGCATGATTAGTCCAGTCTCGACCAGTGAATATAACTCGGAATCTCCCCCCACCCCTAATAGGGTCTGGCTTCAGCCGTTCCTGCATGAAGCGTGTTCAAGGAGAGAAAAGAAGCAAAAAATAAATAAAAATTAGGCCTGTTGATAAAATGTAACTACACATTTGTGTGCTGTCTGAAAGTGAGCCAGCAGGCTTCCATTTTTGATCAAGTTACAGCCTAACGCAATTTACTTCTTGTGCTTGCATTCCAGCTGCGCCTCCTGACTCACTGCAGACAGATAAACATTTTAAAAAGCCCTTTCCTATTTCCTTCCCTTCAAAAAATCCAAAACAAAATAAAGAGGTTTTTCTTTTACATCAATTTTAATATTAAAAGTGCTAAAATCGTAAAGAGACACAATGAAGAGGAGCATCATTAGATGCAAGTCCTTTTAGTGGAAAACAAGTGGACTGATTAACTAAAACTTAACTTGAGCAAAACTGTAAAGTAAAGAAATCTCCCCCCGCTGTGCGCCAAACAGGCTCAGAAATATGATGATGATGGTAACTTTTGAAATGAACACAAAGTCTCCGTTTGTTACAGTTTATCAGAGCCTTACCCGATCAGCGAAGCGATCAAAAGGTCAGAGAAGTGTGTGAAAGTTGGCATCACCTCCCACGTCCAAGCGGTGAAAGCCCATGTTAGAGGAAAACTCCGTTTAGACGCTGGACTGCTCCCCTGTCCCCACGCGTCGCCATACGGCTGTGGCTCCACATTAAAGCACGCCTTGGAAAAGATGCTGAAGGTGTTTGCGTTTACCTACCCCCTTGAGGCAAGAAACTCCTCCCATCGAAATCTATTCGCGGAACATATTATCTGACAGCTTGCTTCCCCCCTCCCGCCCACACCCTATAAAAATTTTAATATATATCAAAAACTGACCGAGCGTCTGGTTGTCATTCAGGTGTCCTGTGATCACCCTGCGGGGTCCACAGTTTAGTTTTTTTGTTTTTTAGATTTAAATGCTAAGCTTGTCTCATGGTCTCGGGTTTGACAACGTGGTGAGGTTATAACCGAGAACTAAATCAGTTTATGCGTGTTACACTTGAATTTGTTCGATTTTTGTTTACGCACTGTGACTAATGTGCGCCTCCTGTGTCAGCAAGCAAAAATTCAAAAATAAAGATTTTTTCCTGATCGTTTAAAAAAAAAAGTAATGAAATCAAATAACACTTCTCTTGTGTTTTTCTGTTTGCAGGAGGGGTGATGCGGACTTTTAGCCACTTTTATCGTCTACAGTTCCTATCTTAATATCGAAACAAATCCGGCATTTATGTTGTTTTATTCATTTGAAATTAAAATTATGAAAATGAAATCACCACCGTCACACTGATCCAAACAGAGATTTATTAAAACCACAATTATTCAATTAATACACATTAGTTCATCTTAAGGGGACTGACATCATTAGCTACGTCTTGACAAAATGTTTCATACACACACACCCGCGCTCAACGGCATACACACTTTGTAGAGATCCACGGTTATATATTTTTTTTATTGGAACAATTTACATTGTGCGTGTATCCACATATGTACAAAATCCATTTATTATGATACATTTAATTTCAAACAAAATAAATAAATAAAACAAAGAGGCCTACTTATTAAAATCCACAATTTTAACAACAAAACAGAAAGAGGCCTTTGATGTGCAAGTGAAAAAAGTTTCCTCCGAGACTAAAAATATAGGCTATTTTGAGAAGGGGAGAAATGTGCTGCTTACAGTTGGTCCCATATAATTTTGTACGCACATTATATCTATTTATATAGTTTGTATATATAATACTGAATAGTACACACAAATTCAACGGCAGCTGAAAGATCTCTCACAAAACTCGAGTTATACATCCTTGACAAACGCTACATAGACTTGTTTGTTGACACAATGAAACCACAGTCAGAAAAAAGATGAAAGAAAACTTTGAAAAACGAGTCACACAGTTGTGACGTTGGTGACTAGGTGTTTATATTGCACATCGGTACTTACATAAAATTTTAAATCACTACATTGTAATTTGTCTGCCTCACAAATCTCACAAATGTTTTGATTTGTCGGTCGGATTGTAACCGGTCTAAGTGCACTCCGGGCCGGAGGACTCTTCTGACAAGGACCGCTGTGCTCTGAAAGGGTCAAACCCATTCTCATCTACCGACAGGCAATTCCCTGCCGAACTGTAGCCCTTCTTCTTCGCTCTCCTCTCCTCCATCTTGATTGTGTCGTACAGCCCCTGCGGAGCTTCGTCTAGCAGGTTATCTCTCTCTGAGTAGGACGGTTTCATTTGGCACACGTTGCGCAGCAGCAGCAGGGCTGGTGCGTAAAGCACATTGACAAGACCCATACCAAGATTAAGTTGTACAAAACCGAGACTGTGCACTATCTGCCCGGCTACTATGGGACCCATAGCATAAGCGACAGAGTAGGAAATATCTGCAATAGCATAAACACTACCATACACAGAAACATGACGCACATCAACTAAAAATGCAAGTGTGGGCAGCAGGGCAGTGTCTACCAGCGCTATGCCAAAACAGATGCCGCACAGCGGGGCGATAAGCTGCCCAAAAGTTTTGCATGCGGGAACTGTGCAGGAGCTCGCCCCTATGATAACCATGCCCACAGCTCCGTAAAACCACTGCAAATTTGGATGTTGTGCTGCCAATTTAACCGTTATGTAAACACCGAGAACGTGAGGGAAGAAGGCTGGGAGCCAGGTGAGCCCCATTTCCCACTGAGATGAGTGCATGGTGGTTTCCATCCAGTTGGCTATAGTTGGCTCTAGAAAGGCAAGGGGGATGTTACACACTGTCAGTGCCCCGGCCACCACAGCTATGTAGGGATCAATCATGAGTCTGTATATGGGGGTGCCGACTGGCATGTTCTCTCTAGTCCTGTTAGAGAATGGCTTGATCACGGTCAGTAGCATTAAGCCATCCGCCAGGCAAATGCAGGCGAGCACGATGAACGGCACTCGTTTGCCGACAAACTCGTACAGGACGCCCCCGAAGGGAGGCGCCACCAGACTCCCGAAAGAGATGAACGCCAGAGCAATGCCGAGCGCCCTGCTTCTCTCTCCCTCCTCCGTGTATTTGTCAGCTATCATTGCGATTCCAGAGGTGTCTGCGAAAGCAGAACCGAGACCCTGCAAACTTCTGGCCATAAAGAGAGTCGCGTAATTCTCCCCGAAAGCGAAGATGCAGGTAGAGACAAACATGACAGTCAGTCCAATTAAAAGTGGAATGTCATATCCCACCCGGTCTATGAAAGTTCCCGACAGGGGGTTAACTAAGAGCTGGAGGATGGCTTTTGATGCAAAAAGTATTCCTATCTGGATATCTAAATTGTCCTTGTTGCTTTTGTCCTGGCTTGTGCTGTTTGCCGAAGTGTTGGAGTGCATCACAACGTGGACGTGTTCTGACTGCTCAAGCTCCAGATCAGCAAGATAGTCTGGAATAATTGGCACGATTACCATGTAGAGCATATTGTCCAACAGGAGAGCCACGCAAACAATCACCAGTATGATCCGTCTTTGCTGGTGAGGATCCCGCATCGCGGTGCCTAACTGCTTGGTTCTTTCACCCATCTCGGACAGTTTTACAGCGGCTGATTTGGCCAGCCCCGAAGAGCCTCCTTCTCCATCCATGGTGTGCTTTTCTTTAAAAAAAAAAAGGATTTTCGATTCAAAACTGTATTTGTGCTTCTTCCGTCTGATGCCGATCTTTTTAACACCTCGGATGACTCATTGGTGCTTTCTTTACACTGAAGTAACGCTCTCCGTCCTCACCTCGCCTGTGCGTAAAGGGAGAGGCGCAGATGAACTTGGTTGCCTCATCTGTGAAGATGGTTTTCTTCAGCTTTCTCCTCTTGTCCTCGGCTCAGCCACGTCCGATGATGTTTCATGATCTCCCGAGAAGTGACGTGGTGAAATCGTAGATTTTCTGCACCTTGCAGAGGTTTCAGCTTCTATTCTTACATATCAAAGGTTTTTTTGGAGAGATTTTGATAATTATTTGCACAACAGAGAACACTCAATCTCGCTTATCTCTGTTGTCATACCTCCTATCACCTGTGGCACTTTTGCGCTCTGCTCCGAGACCACGAGTGACTCCGTGGCCATTGGTGCACATTAACCCGCAGGTTCGGCGCTATTTTAGTCCCTTTTTTTGTCTCCTCTTTTCAGCAAGTGCTATGACGCATCACCAGCTTGCCCCCAAGTGGATCCCTTCTCCACTTGTCTCTTTTATGTTAATCTCCAACCATTGGCAGCAATCACTTCAACCAATAAGAGCTGGTGAGCACTATTACAAAGGCGCAGAAGAAAAATCGTTTCGTACTCTCAGTGTGTGACTCTAGACTTTGGAGATATAGAAAAATATATTGCGCTTTGTCATCACCAGTATATACGCACAAGAGACGGTACATGTTTTCAGAATAAAAGTCTATCCATATCAATCGCACAAAACACAACATTTACGACATTTCTTAGACTTGCCAGTAACGTCATTGACCTTATTGTTTAAAGTTACTTTGTCACACTGCCCTTTTCTGCACCCAAAAGACTCCAGTACCGTGGACAGATTCAGCCCCCACGGGCTCTTTAAACGGCCAGGTTTGAGTCTCTCACTCATTTTTTGAAGCAAAGATACTTTTCATGGCCTTCTTAAAAATGTTGCCTAAACTCCCAAAAGTCATGGCGCTTGTTAGCGTTTGCATTTACACGGAATAATGTCGCATGCAGCTATCAGCGCAGACACTGTGCAGGGTACAAGTTTAACATCGGCGACACCTCGTGGAGAAAATTCATTGGTACACACAACAGGAGTGGAAATCACTGCATTACCTTTACTAAGTACTACAGTCCTGACATTTTATACAGTTGTAGAATTATTTACAGGCTATTACTACCCAAAGGACCCATTAAAAGAATTTCAATTAAGTGCTTTAGTTTCGGTTTCTTTCAAATATTTGTCTTGCGCAGTACTATTGCTATTTAAGTCTGTTGTTCGTTGTATGACGCTACAAAAGAAACTCCAAAATATTTTTTTATAGTTGTTATTCTTACTTTCTGTCTATGTGTGATTCTAATATATGCATTTTAACAAGACTTCTTTCTGTTTATCAGTAGAGGGCGATAACGACCTACAAATGATTAAAATCACTCTATTAGCCTGCAGTGAACAGGGTAGCGCATGCTCAAGGACAGACCACAAGACTGGCACCTCTTCGTTGGTACTAGAAAACTAATATTAATTGAAGTACAGCAATCTGGGTTAACAAAAAAAGAAGAATAACATTTAAATTTATTAAATTAAAATTTGCTAATACAACAACAACAATAGTAGTAATAATAAGAATAATAATTAGGCTCAAATAGTTCTTGGTCATTCCTTTAAAAATAATTCTGCTCTATCCCTTGGAAACACGGAATAAGGAGATGGGAGAGGTGGCTCAGGAGTTTTGCACAGGAAAGTGTATGAATATAAATGTATGCACATGAGTTTGATTAAATATTAAATATTGAAGATAAAAAGATAAAAAAAGATATAAAGATTAAGCAGCATGTACTTTATGTAAGTGACAGTGCCTAAGTGATTTATATACATATATGTATATGTGTAGGTACACACACACACACACACACACACACACACACACACACACACACACACACAGAGAGAGAGAGAGAGAGAGAGAGAGAGATAAACATACATATTACATAA